TTTTGATGAAATTTTTTGAGCATCTTCCTCATTAAGTCTAGTTTACCCATACCAAATTTCAGCTAAAAATTCAACCGGGAAGGTAGTCAAATAATTTTCCGAAATGTACGGCGTTGTTTAACTTCACAGTTATCTTCAAAAACTCATTTGACTACCTTCCCGGTTGAGTTTTTAGCTGAAATTTGGTATGGGTAAACTAGACTTAATGAGGAAGATGCTCAAAAAATTTTATCAAAAAATTCCATCGGGAACCGCCCCAAATGGCGTCGGCCAGACAGAGCATCCAAAATATGACCTTATTTGACATTTTTTTTTCGAGTTCGAGGCCCTATCTGACCCTTATCCCAAAAACAAATCATAGAAGAATAACCCCATGCTATCTGAATGTTCTTCTCTCTTGTGAGTATGAATGACCACCCTAGCTATCCGTGGAGGGATGGATTGATCATTGATCAACAATGAGATGGTGAGAGTGAACTTTCCGGCAGAAAGACTCTAGCCGCTGTCAACAACACAAAAAGACACATGAATAAAGGAATGTGAACCATCATTGATGTCAATTAGGAAACAAAAGAAACAACAGCAATGAAGGTGTAGCTCTACCAGATGTGTGTGTGTGTGTTCTCTTACAACTGAAGTTACTGAACTAAAAGCTAGCTTAATATGATATAGTTATAGACTACACATTTATTACTTGCCATCTCCAGATGGAGAAGCTACTAGCTAGGGCAACGGGGTGATGAGAAGACTAACCTTTGGAAGAGGAAGGAAGAACGACGACATGCATGGTAGAATTGTTAGGCGGGAGAGCTAAGCGGAGAGGGATAACCTTGCCATTCAAAGGGTTGCGCATGCACACGATCACATCTTCAAGCCCTGTCTCTTCCTCCAGCTTCTCACTCAATTCCTCCAAACCATTCCCTTTAAAATGGAAGCATGGCCATTCAACCCCATTATCCTCAACATTCCCGTTATCATCCGCCACATAGTAATATATGACCCGCCCTTCACTCCCATCGACCGACTCCCCTCGCTGCACGTACATTTTCATTTCAGCTTTAATCAGACTATATACAATACTCTGTATTATATCAATGCCGCTAATCTTGAATCTACTTCTCAGCAAGTAACTGAAAGGGAGGGAGAGGAGTTTTCATGGTGCGGATTCGACGGTTTAAGGTTAAAACTTTAAAACCAATCATGTTTTGAGAAATGGCCTGGCTACTTTTTCTTAAACCAATCTACATAATAAGTTTAATTAACTAGTCCCAACCGAAACTGCTAGCTGAGTAGCATATTCATAAAAAAATGATGATAATTTATCAATTATCGCCACAATGATGAAAAACTTCATATTATAATAATAAAAGGTTCACAGGTTTACAGAAAGCGAAGCTAAACCAATACATGAAATTAAAGTTTAAAACTTAAAAATCAAAAGCCAATAGTTATATTGTTTTTTTAAAACAGTAATCGTCATCATCACATCATCATTATCATAGTTTTTGTTGTTGTTATTATTTGAATACCCCTACTTAGCTTACCGAGTGTTGGGAAAGAGATGGTGAGGCAAGCCTAAAGTTGGACAAGTCATCGTCGGCGTAATCTGATCTAGGGATCTTTTCCGGCGAGTCCGGACGGACTTCGAGAATCTCAACTTGCCACAAAATCCAGTCTTGATGCCTGTGAGGAATGTCGTGCGTGATTGAGTTTCTCCAAGGGGGGATTCCCGAATTCGCCCTCAGAAAGTTGCCGTACCTTGTTTTCAGCTTCACCAGGTTCCCTTCCCTCACGGGTTCCCATTCGATCTTCGAGTCCAGTTTCTTAGGTACCGTTTGAATGACCTTTCTGCCCGTCACGCCGAGAAGGTACTGCTCGTCGGTGGCGGTCAGGTACCTGCCGTAACAGCTCTTCAGGCGGAGGACGAAGTGGGCCCCTTCGACGAATTCCACGGTCCATTTCGCGGCCTTGGTGGAGCCGTCCCTGCATTGGAAAACCGATTCGTCCTTCCGGTCGGCGGAGAGGTATTTGTCGTGGTGGCTCATTAGCCGGACGGTTTGGGCTTTTTTGAAAATTTCCATCACAGATCTAAATTTCGGCGAAGGGTCAAGAAATTGAAGGTTCCATTATAATCATGATGAAGACAAGCACCAGTTGCGTCCGTAGAATCTCCTCCTTTTCCTTTTTATTACGGCTTAACTGCAAATCATGTCAACTGACAAAATCGTGAACCGTGGGTGTGCCGTGTCGGGGAAAAAAATATGTGAGGCGGTAAGGGGAAAATAATACGGAGTAGTATCCGTGATTGAAAAAAAAAAAATTGCACCAGCCGGGAATCGAACCCGGGTCTGTACCGTGGCAGGGTACTATTCTACCACTAGACCACTGGTGCTGATATGTCTGTAACAATAGCGAGATTGTTATTCTACTAATTTGACTGTGAACCAGAACTGGGTGAAACCTCCCACTTGAATCTTCAATGCCCCTCTCTCCACATCACGCTAATCGCCAGGCATCAAGTCCAACAAACGAGATATTATAACGACGAGATCACTAAATAAAGCACTCATTATTTGACTCCTTAATATAGGTAGGTGTAGGTCATTTAAATTCTTTTGAGAATAAGGCTCCGATGTTATTGTTGTAGCAATTATAAGGATTAAATTTTGCAGGACGAGAAAACCAGATGGACTGTGTAATAGACACAGAAATCTACACAATAAGTTTTGTTCTACACTGAATTAAATATGCAGTTTACATATATACACTGAGATAGATATGAAAACAACAAATGGTCATACAATTTGTATCTGGGAGAGAGAGATCATGATAAAAGGACTCTCATGTCGCTCATTCCGTTGACATGAGAGTTGCATCCTCTACTCTGTTTGCTCGTTCATATATACCCGCAACAACTTGATGCAGGTCCCTCTTGTTAACACGTGGATCAATTTCAAGTCTTTCAAACAATGTCTCAACCATTTCAAAATCCCCCTGAGCCCCATACACATTCAACATCTGAAAATGGACATCGTCTGACAAAACCCGTTCCTCCTCTTCATTCATCTTCCTATATAGACACTCCGCCTTCTCAAACTTCCCCAACTTGTCATAAGCATCAAGGACCATGACAACCATGTTTGAATCCGGGGAAAACCCCGATTCTCTCAAATTCTGGTACACGTCAATGACATTTTTGTAACTTCTGTTTCTAGAAAAAAGATCAATCATGCACTCAAAAACCTCTATGTTCTTCACCTCCCTAGCATCAATCATTTGCCGAAACACCCACATTGCTTCTTCTACCCGACCAGCTCCTGCAAGAGCCAGTAAAGCGGTTTCCCGAGGAATATTATCGGGCCGTTTCAGTTGCTGCAGCAAACGGTTGGCATGGGCAACTAGTCCGGCCCGTTCATAAGCCACGATCATCGTTTGGTATAAAACCTGATCAAATTCAACCCCAGAAGACCGTAGCTTCTGAAACAGAATTGCGACTCGGTCCAACTTTCCTGCTTTACTCCATATGTGGATCATAGTAGCGAATGTGATGGTGTCCGGTTTGATCCCTTTAGTCTCCATTTCCTTAACAAGGTTGTTTGCCTTTTCGTGTTCACGTGTTTTCCCGTATATCTTAATCATTGTGTTATATGTCACGACGTTTTGGTGGATGTTCTTCTTCTGCATCAATCTGAATAAATGTATGGCTTCGCCAAACAGCTCGGCATCACCATAAACCCTTAAAAGGGTGTTGTAAGTTATCACATTTGGTGCGATCCCTATCTTCCTCATACTCCAAAACAAACTATCTGCTTCTTTCACCATATCAAGCTGTCCATACACATCGATCATTATATTGCAGGTTGTTAAATCAAGCGGGCAGTTTGCTTTCTTCATTTCAGAATACACGGATAGAGCTTCAAGAACCTTCCGATTCTCCATGTAGATACTCATAAGCGTAGAGTAACTAACGGTATCTGGGGTAATACCATTTGACATCATCTCATTTAGCAATAAACTTGCTTCCCGAAAAAGCTTGGCTTTCCCAAACACATTTATCATTGAGTTGTAAGCTACCAGGTCTGGGGTAATCCCTGAGCTCTTTAGTTTGGAGAATATTGATATAGCTTTTGGATAATCAGATAGTTTACGAGACAACTCGATTAAATTGCTGTACAGAACCAGATCCCCAGTCACATGGTCATGCTCCATTTTCTGAAGCCAAGATAGAGCATCGTCAAACAGGCCTTCTTTCCCGAAATGGGTAATTAAAGTCGAGTAAGTGTACTTATCTGGTGAGACGCCTCGTTGGCGCATTTCGTCGAACAGTCCAGAGGCAAGGCGCCATTGCTTGGCTCGGAGAACATTACGAAGCACGACGTTGTAGGCGAACACGGAAGGGGTGTACAGAGCCTCTTCGTGAATCCAATCGAGCAGCGCGAGACAGCGTTGCCAGTCGGATTCGCGTGAGATGAGGGTGAGCATGAATCGCGCGGAAAGCTCCCGACTTTTGTACGGCGACATCAAAGCGTGGAGCTCTCGTTCGTTAGTTGTCTGTCCAATGCACAGCGCCAGTTCATTCATGTCGACGCTTCTGTCAAGTACCGCCGGCGGCTGCTTCCTTCGGTACGGCGTAGTTCTTGGCGACGAAGTCTGCTCAGCCGTCCTTCTCAGGACGCCTTTTAGCGAGCAGGTAGCCGGGAATGCCAATGCGATGAAGCGGGTCCGGAGTTTCGTGTACCTCTTACAGGGCAGGATAATCCCGACTCTGTCATGAGGTAAAGTGGAAGGTGAAAAGGAGCAAAGGTGTATGGCAAACGAGAGATCGTGCATTGCAGTTCCTGCTATAATCGTCATTGCAGTAATTTTACTCTCCCATAAGCGGGGGGTAACCCAACGCTTATCTTCTTGGGTAATGTCTGTAATGATGGGGATGGTAATTCCGTACTTGCGGCTCGCGGGCACCTGGAGAATGATGGGGAGGAGATGAGTGATGAGCTATGTTGCACCGATACTTCACTTCGATGTCGTATCCGCGTATCCGATACGTATTCGTATTCGATACTTACCGATATCCGTCCTGTACGTATTGGGTCCGTATCCGTAATTTAATAAAAGTATCGGGCTTAATTTTAAAAATACCGATACTTCCGATACCCGTATCCGTGAACCGATACACGTATCTGAACCTATAACCCCTCATTTTATACACGACATGACGAAAATTTAGTAGCCAACCAAGCGACCACAACATGTGGAACATTGATAAAGATGGTTTCGGGAGTATGAAAAATAATGGAATACTATAATTTGACATTTCATTGCTTGATGATATTTAATTGAAACAAGACTTGGATGTAAATGCAAATAGAGAACGAAAAAAAATTATTTGAATTTAAATCAAAATATCAATACTTTAGTTTTTTAGACTAATCTTTGAAACTTTATTATAATAGTTAATTTTTGTACTATTATTATTATTATTTTATTTATGAACCCCTGAATTATATATATTTGCAAATTATACCCTATATTTTTATTATTTATAAATATACCCCCGTACCCGTATCCTATAATTTTTGAAAGTGCCGTATCGTCGTACCCGTATCCGCGTATCCGCGTATCGGCGTATCCGTATCCGTGCAACATAGGTGATGAGAAATGGGTGCACAGAAACGACGAGGGGTTAGAGGCCGCCTACCTAGTGTTTCTAAAGTTCACAAGTACCTTTACAACATTGGTTTTTTTGTTAATAACAATTAAATGATATTTTTTTAAACGAAATTATTTTGAATATAAAAAATTATAGACAAATCTTCATGTCAAACCGGCTTAACGGGATGCTCCGTCCGACCGAGCTCGTTTGGGTACCTTTCCGGTGAAATTTTTTGATGAATTTTTTGAGCATGTTCATCATCAAGTCTAGTTTGTCCATACCAAAATTCAGCTCAAAATTCGATCGGGAAGGCATTCAAATCATTTTTTAAAGTTGACTGCAGTTTTATATGTATACTTTGACGCAGTCAACTTCAAAAAATGATTTGAATGTCTTCCCGGTCGAATTTTGAGCTAAAATTTAGTATGGACAAACTAGACTTAATGAGGAATATGCTCAAAAAATTTCATCAAAAAATTCCACCGGAAAGGTGCCCAAACGGGCTCGGCCGGACGGAGCATCCCGTCAGGCCGGCCTGACAAGAAGACCACTCAAAAATTATATTATGATGTTCCTTATTCAAAATATTTTCATAAAAGTATTATTTTCTTCATAAAAGTATAAATTTTATAAATTACATATAGATATAGATTTAGTAATTAAAATTATTGTCCAAAGTTCGTCATTAATCAAGAAAAGTTAATGTGATGAACGGACAGAAGTATATTTTTGAGGGCACTACACGTTGATTAGTAAAATTCCCCAATCTGGATAGTGAGAGTGTGAGACTTCTTAGGAGTAAGAAACGAAGAATTAGGGGGAATTCCTTGTTACAAAATCTATTACACATCATTATGAGTCTATCTTAATAACATTCCAACGTGATCACCATAAAAAACTATTTAGTGTTGTAGAAATTTAAAGGTCACTTGTTTCCAAATTTTCATCCACCTCAATGAATTATCTTACTTTAATGTGTGAAATGTTTGTTAATAAAGGACTAAGAAATTGCAGTTCGTTAAAGATGCAGAAATAGACGATTTGACTTTGAATAAACACAATGAAAAATAGTTTGGCAATCATCACCAAGATAAGAGATCATTCATCATTATTACTCCAGTGTCGTAAAGGCCCCCACGAACAATGAGGTAGGGGTCGGATGTACGCAGTCTTACCCTGTACTAAAGCACAGAGAAACAGTTTCTGAATGACCCATAGTGAAAATCACGTCGAAAATTACAAGACTGACTGATGCGTCATAACAAAGAAGCGCAGACAGTTTAGTAAGTCATTTTGTTTTATTTCATCATATTCCCAAATCAATAAAATAGTGAGTCTTTGGCTCTATTACAAATGATGGAAAAATCACCAAGATAAGGGATATGAAGGATAAAGGGAGAACTGCCAAACAAGCCCTTGAACTTACGTAAAACGTGCAAATCACCCCTTATATGGGAGGCTCTGTTCGGCCGTCGCCATTTGGGGAGGTTCCCGTTGGAATTGTTTGAAGAAATGTTTTGAGCATCTTCTTCATTAAGTCTAGTTTACACATACCAAATTTCAGATAAACATTCAACCGGGAAGGCAGTCAAATATTTTC